GATGGAGGGATTGTGAATGGGAAGCACAGTTAGGGTGATGGGGTTTTTCTCCAGTCATGTTCAGCAGCGTGAGCACAGGCACAACGTAGGTAGAGTTGAATTTAACAAGGTATGCGGTTTACCCAAGTGAGTAGGACAAAGTGAGAGGAAAAGTAGTTGAAGATAAATGCAAGGATATGAAGATAATGATTAAACATGGACTTTAAACCAGTTTAAGGGGGATAAACATAAAAGGGATGAGGGGAATGAAAAACAATGGTAGGACCAATAGTCCCCGAGCTGCCATAGATGGTTAATGTAGGTTATGCACTATTTTCACCATAGATACCCCTTTCAAGTGGACTCCATTCATACCTGAAATTTCTGATTTGTATATTTATCATAATAATTTTCTGGAAGATGACACTCAAATGTCTTGTTTTATCCAAACGTGGTATTATATCAGTTTCCAAAAGATTGAAGTGAAGATTGAAGACGAATTCTAAGGCATCATAGGGGCTAGCAGTGGCCCTAACAACGGATACGAGGTCCTGCTCAGTTGAAGGATTATTGGAATTGGAGCACTAGACGGCGTGGGCTGGAACCAAAAACGGAAGTGGTCAGAGAGTGGGGTGTTAATAGCTGAGATTATCATTATGGAATAGTTGTCAATATTGGTAATGACAAGGTCAAGACTATAATCATGGGAGTGGATGGCTAAAGGAGGGAGCGACAACAGCAATCTAAGAAGAACAGCTTCTGAAGGAACCATGGGGAGAAGGTGACAGTATCACACTGGAGAGTTAATGACTTATCTTAAAATGTACCAACATATTAAATGTTTTTTATTTAATAGTCTTAAAATCCTAACTTTTAGAATTCCTGAAAATATTAAATATGAGTTGAAATAGATGTAAAAATTCAATGTCTTAAGCTGCAATTTCTCTGAGTTTGATTTAAGTAAATATCTGCAAGATCCTGTTCACCCTAATTCTGTGCTCGTATTGAATCCTGTTTTGTTGGCAAATAACTTTCGTTCACAATCCATTCTATGTTCAGGGACTGGAAGTTTGGGAATTATATTTCTCAGGCTCTCTTTCCTCGGGGTTTTGGGTTAAATTTGCATTGGGCCAATGCTCTCACAAGAGATCTAAAAGCAAAGGGACACAGAACAATTCTCCCTCAGACCTCAACCGCATTATTTCTACAGTGGCAGATGGAATGCCAAGCTCCACCACCAGGGGAAGCCTCTGAACAGGGGCACTGTGGTACTGCTGACCATTTGTTGCAGCATCTTGACCTCTAGGTGTCAGCAGTTAGTCACTGAGTTCTGAAATCAGCCCTCCAATGGGGTTACCTGAAAGTTAAAGGCAGCCACACTAATGGTCACTTCCCTAGCTTTACCAACAACTTTTAAGCCCCTAAATCCCTGTATCAAATCTTGATATTGTTTTGATTTTTCATTAATGAATTCTGATTGGCACAATATTTCATGCTAAGACTATTCCAGAAAGATGGGAATTTCGTATTGGTTGGTTGATCTGATCGAGTTTGTATACAGGGATGATCTCATTCCAATGTAAAATAGAATTCTAAGGAGACAGGGCATGCAGTGGCTAGCATTTGCTTAAAGTAATACCTATGGATGCCTAAAATTAAGGGACTACTGAAGTCAAGAATTCAGGAACCCACATTGTGTATTGCTGTGGAATAGGAAAGAGAACTAGACAACTAAGTGGCATGTCAGCTCCTTCAGACTATAATAGAGACCATACGAAAGAACATGATAAGCCCAAGAACTTTACAATCTTGGATCAAGACATGGCCAAAGACCCAGAAATCTTCTAAGACCCTTATGCTTGCTGTATTGTTGATATATTGTTGATATAACCAAAAATCAGACCCAAGGTCTGTTGCTACAGCCTACAACTTTATAATGCAAGATGAATTCAAAGCCTTGCTAGGTATCTTATGTGAAAGTGAGGCTTGTTACAGTAAAAAGTGGGCCCTGTGAATTGGGAAAAAGGACTTTTGGAGGATTTGGGTGAGCTTAGTACTTTGAACCCCAAATCTTTCTGAGGCTTCCTTGCTGGCAGAAGTGAGCCTTTCCTCCCTGGTTTGTCCTTTATCTCTTGTTAGCAGACTCCACCAGCAGAAATTACCTAGTAAGGGGCTGCCAATCTCCTAAAATACAACCAGAAAGAACTGACTACATCAAGACCTTGATTTGTTAAAAGTCTCTTGAACTTTAAGAAATAAGAGAGGGTTTTTTTGTTGTTTTGTTTTGGTTTTGTATAGAATTTCCCTGCTCTGTGAATAGAAGCGTGTTTTGAAGAAGCTTAAGACTAAAGGAGGGAGGTGGAAATGAAAATCCAGTTTTGAGTTGCACATGTGCTCTAACCATAAGGATACACCTCTAGTAAGACCCTAAGGCTGATGCTTTTGATAAAGAACATATTTTAATTATGGCAAGTTTTTTCTTAGTATTAATACGATTACATAAAAGAGAAAAGATAGAAAAAAATGATTATTTGCTGATTTTGAATGGGCACTAGAACTCTAAATTTACAAATCCTTAAGAGTACAGTGACGCAGGCATTGGGGTAAAGCTAAACTGAAACGAGTGTGGGAGTTTTTGCTGTTTGTTAGCTCTCCTGTTAATGGAGAAAGCTGCCATGCTGGATGAGAATGGGTCTCTATGTAAACTGAAAGAGTACGAAGAAAGGACAGATGAGAAGGACTGACCTTCGGCTTGGTGGAGGAGGAAAGTGGAAATTGCTACCCCAACAGTCTCTCAGCCCGTGATGGTCCTGTGGATATATTTTTCTGCTCTTAGGAACTGGTATCCTAACCCAATCAGCCTGTTGCAAAGTGGAGAGACTGTTTTCCCTTTATTTGCCAACTTCAGGATAGTTACTGTAACTATAATAGTGATGCATTATAATTACATTGCATTTCGTGGCCACATGCCAGGCACTGAAGTATGAAGTGTTTTCCAGGTGTCAGCCCATTTAGTCCTCACAATGGCCCTGTGAATGAGATATACGGTTATAACCCCCATTATAGGTTTATAAAATCTGAACTTGTGAGAGGTTAACTTTCTAGCTAAAAATCACATGAGTAGCTAATGATGGAGATTGATCCAGGCCCAGGGCCTTCTTGTACCAAATCCGAGACTGACCATTATACTATTCTGACTTCCTTCGGCCACACATGGCCTTATGTCCCATAGATGTTATCCATTGACCTCCCCTCAAATCCATCCACCATTTCCACGACCATCTCTCTAGTTATGAACACTATAATCCTCCTAAAGGATTACTGTAGTCGCTTCCTAAATGATCCACCTGTATCCATTTTGGTCCCATCTCGGATCTGTTTTCATATTATAGCCAAAGGGAACATTTCAAAACATGAATCTGATCATGTTGCACCACCTACTAAAAATGCTTTCATGGCTTCATGTGAAGACTTATCGATTCAGGCTGGTCTTTCAGGCCTGCCTAGTCTGTCCCTCATCCCTCTTGAGCCTCACGGGGCCCAATGTCCCCGAAGCTGCCTCCCTTCCCTTGCTGTCTCTTCTGCAGACGGACCTCCTTCCTTCCTCCAAAGCACCATGTACTTTTCTTCCGCAGAGCCTTTGCTTATGTCCTTCCCTCTGTCTCGAGTGCTCGTCCACACTGCACCTTACATCTCCTGCCCTTCCTAGCAGTCTTTCTGGTCATTAAACTAGATTAATTTTATTAATTAATTCACCAAAGGCCCTCATAACATGTGTCTCTTCTTGGAGGTTGGGGTTTTATAATATTGGTGTGGTTCTCTGAGGAATGGCTATTCCCAATCATACGGTAAGCTCTGTGAAGGCAGGAACTGGGGCAGGTTTTGCCTGCCCCTGTAGACACAGTACGTCTGGCATAGGGTGGGTGTTCAAACAACAGTTGTTGAATAATAGAGGCTACAACAAACCTCCCCTGAGATGGGAGATATGAGAAAGACAAGCCTTTTCCCAAAGTCTGTAACATGCTTAGGCCTTGTGCAGGGGATGGAGACGAGCTGAGAGTGGACGGTCAGCTCTTCAGACAACCAGGACTAGCCTGACAGCCCAGCCTCCAGGCTCCTCCTGAGCCTAGGAGGACTGTGGCTAGGTCTCATAAGGGAGTTTCACTTGGTGGGAACAATGTTTCAGTCCTAGAATGTATAAGTATGGCCACTAAGAAAGCAACTGCTTGACACACAGAGCATTGAGTTTGTAAAATACCTTATTCTGTCTTCAAAAGCCTTCGGGGTGAATTGGCTTTATAAAGATGGAGACTGAGAGGGGGAATGGAGTCTGATCCTTTCCTCTTGAGTGGCAGGCCTGGAAGTCTGGAACCTAGTCTCCTGACCACACAGGAAGAGGGTGCTATCTGGAATGACTGGGATCTTCTCAGTTTTCTCCACAAGAAGCTCTGGGTATCCATTAAGTGTCACCCTGAGGCAGATGGAGGGTATACATGGAGAGTGAGTCCCCCAAACAGTGCCCTCTCCAGGCTCAACTTCCTGGTGTAACAAATTCAGCCATTAGAGATTCATTCTTTGGTCTACAAAGAATGAAAATACAAGGAAAAAGAGCACATCAGATTGGTTTACCAGATTCCTTTCAGATATTGTTGTTTTGATGAGATCTGGAAGAAAAAGGAGTTTGAAGAAAATGCACAGCTAAATCATGGAGTGTTGGCAGCAAGTGAGGGAAAGGCAGGAAGCAAAGACGGCCCCTCCATTTAGCAAATTTAGAGAATAGAAAACTGTTTCATCAGATTAAAAATTTGATTCTTGCATCACAGCTTTCATTATTTTGGTTGCCATAATCCTGTTCGACTTGCGCTGCTTTGTTGGGGAAGGGAGACTGTGTTTGACTTTGCTTGGAGACCATAAAACCACAACAAAATAGATTCTGCTGAACGCTACTAGGCAACACCAGGATCTCCTCTCCACAAGGCGAAGGACTTGTGATAAAAGACAAACGGCTCCCAATGTGTTGCATGCGTACAGGGCGTCTTAAGAAACCGAAGGTGGTTCTGAAGCATCATCTTCATGAATAACCACGAATAAATAGAACTAAGATGTCAAGTGACTTCTCAGGAAATCTGAGCTTTATAAACAACAACAAAGCCTATAGTCTGACCACTTTCCCCAAAATTGTTTGCAACTGATCTGACAGCCAAAAGGTCAGCTGTTAGGATCTTTTTGGAAGTTGATTTGAAAGGAGTGTGCTCAATGTCCTCGCTGAACTGCATCACTTCCTTCCTGGGACCATCAGGGAACCTCCCCAGCCTTTCAAGATAGGTTCTGCTTAGAAAGGTCAACCGGGCAGTGGGAACCCCGGGCAAAAGTTGGCGGCTAGTGCAGCGCATCTCTTCCCCGGCGTTCTCGGCCGTTCCTTCTCCTCCTCTCCCCACGGAGGTGGACCCCGTAGAAAGGTTCCGCCAGAGGGTGGGTCAGGGCTCAGGTTTGCAGCTGTGGAGAAGCGCCGGAGGCCGTGCATCTCCAGGAGGTAGGGAAAGCCTCCGAGAGAGCCTCCAGGCCCCCGCCCCCGGCTCTTCTAGGGACCCGCTCATCCTGGAACCCGGCGCGGGGCTCCCGGCGCGGGGCCGGGGAGGGGTGTGGCGGCGCAGGGGGTAGGACCCGCAGGCTGCCGGTGGGGGGGGCGGGGGGGCTGAACCCGCCTGGCCGACCTCCGCAAGGAGCTTCAGTGCAGGGGGCGGGGGAGAGTGGAGGGAGGAGGCCTAAAACCTCAGGGTGCATACGAGGGGAGGACTCGATTGCAGAGGGAGGGCAGAGCCGCCGAGCAGCTGGGCGCAGGAGTGAGCGAGCGTGCGAGCGGCCCGGGGGAGCGCGGCTGCGGCTCTGCCGCGGGCAGGGAGCCGGCCGGCGCGTCGTACTCCGTAACCAGGGCGGCCCGGCTCCCCGCAGCCCTGCAAGCCGAGCCAGAGCTCCCGGAGCCCGCCGCCGGCCGTGCGCTCGCTTCGCTGCCGGGAACCTGGACGAGCCCGGGAGAGTGAAGGTAAAAGGAAAGAAGGAAGAGAGAGAGAGAGAGAGAGAGAGAGAGATGGAAGGAAGGAAGGAGGGAGAGAGCGAGAGCGAGAATATGAGAGTGGGTGCAAGCCGAACAAATTGCAAATTGTAAGCAAGTTTGTACTTGCATGTTGGGGTTGTGCGTGCTTAATGGGAGGGAGAGGGCGGTGATGGTGGTGGTGGTGGTGTGTGTACGTGTCTGATACTCAGGGATGAGGAGATAAGGAGGTGGAGAGCGTCCTCCCCGCATCTCGTACGTAGATATCCCTATTAATATCCCCCTCTCGGATTGTCATTTCCGCTTGTGGCACTTCTTTTGGGCTCCCGTGATGCAGAAGCAAAAGGCAGCCACCCTCTTGTGATGGTCGGTACTGTTGCTACTATCAGATGGGAGATGCACGGCGTTGGACAAATTCTAGGAGCCTCCCTTCCTCCACTCTCGACTATTTTAGGAAGGGCTGGGGGGAGGGGAAGCGGGTACCAAGGCCCAGGGCTTGACGACGGTGCGGAGGCCGGGGCTTCAGACTGCTGGGGTGTCGCCGTGCAATTGCTTCCAGGCGCAGCCTTCGCTAGAGGGCAAGATAACTTTGATCTCCTCTCTGGAAAGACAGGTTTCAGACGGAGATTTTGCAGGGCTGCCTGAGGAGTTCTGTGAAATGGTGGTTCACAGGGCGGCAGGTGCATGGCAAAGGGCAGAAAAACAGTGAGAAATAAAGCAGTTCTCAGCCGCTAAGCAAAGAAAGCCCTTCTGGAAACCGGGTTGGGTGTGCTGCCCCGGGGTGACAGACCTTGGAGGCTGCAAGTTCAGGCCCAGCCTGCGGAGAAACATCAGCCTGAAACCAGGATTAGCATCCTGGAATGTTCATCTCTGAGCTTTTCAGTTTGGGGTGGAAAACCTGTATGTATCCGACAGTCTTCCGTGAACGTTCCAAGAAAGTTCTAAGCGAATTATTTCTCTCTTCTTGAGTGTCTATATTTTTGTCTCCATCTGAGCAAGCTTTTACTGAAGGAAGCACTTGTTTACAAAAGCCAGACTTGTGCAAGAGACAGTGTAGTAATTTTCACTTAAACAACAATTATTAATATGACCCACATCTGTACAAAATGCTGATCTAATTCTTAGTCATGAAGATTGTTCTTTCAGATGCTTGATGAAAAAGAAATAGTATGGGTAAAAAGTTCCTGATATTGCCTGAACAGGGTGATAAATACACATAGCTATTTCTGTTTCTTGTGTATTTGAGCCTGTTCCTTACTTTGTGGCAAATTTAGAACAAAATGTACCAGATCAATGCTAAGTTAATATGTTTCAGTTGAAGATAAAGGCTCGGCTTCAGACTGACTCAGATAGTCACATTGTTAGCTTTTGAGAATATTCGTTCTTATCATTAGAGACTCATTTTTATCTCTCTTAACTAATGATTTTTTCAGAAACTGGCTTGTTCCTGTTCTCACTGTCCCCATATAAAAATTCTTGTCACTTGATTCCTTCCTCTTGCAGGGGAGCAAGGGGTGAGAAAAGGCAGTTTATCGTTCAGACTCTTTCAAGAATGGCTTGTAGTTCAATGTGCAGGACAGGCTCTCTGAGAAGTCTGCAGCACACACAGCTTCTTGGAAATGAAGGGAGGTGTAACTGAACAGGATGTAGGAAGCCCTCGGCTAGGCAAGGTTGGTAACGTTTTCTCAGTTCTAGATGCTGCAGCCACACCCGTGACCTGACTGTGACTGTCACGTGGGGCCCGAGGGTCCCCTGGGAGGGAATCTGCATTTCTCCTCCTCTTAGATGTGTTGTAGGTGCCCTTCCTTGTGATCTAATCCAGCCAGAGCTAGTGTTTGGCAGGCGGATATATATACTCTAGCGAAGTAGGGGAGGAAGGTAGCTGATACCTTGGGGTCTGATTTATCCTCCAAGCTTACCAAAAAGTGTTCAACCATGACACATCGTATCCATCACATTGATCAGCTCTGTACTTTGTCTTTTGCTTACTTGTTTACATTTTTGTTCTCCCAGAAAAAGGGCTGATTCTTACTTGTTACCCTGTACAGCTCATAATAATGAATAATTCACAGTACTGCTCACTGATAACCCGTACACATACGTTAGTTGTGTATTTATATAACTCCAGATGTCCATCTCCTTCCCTACTGCTTAGCCATCTTAGTGTTTATTAATTAGTACCATTGCTAAAGGATGAATGCAGGAAAACAATAATTAAATTTAAAATTAGACACTTCATGTGACTCACTCCAGCAAAGAACTTAGATGTAAGGGGGTGGAGGTGTATTTGTTGGCTTTTTAATTTTTGTTTAATAACGATTTTTAATAGGTTCTTATCCTTATACATATTTAGACATCTCTTTTAGTAATATTTATATTTTGTGCTGCTCTGAATCGGTTTGTGTTTTCAGGTAGAAATGAACCACATCATCTCTGGTGGTCACAGGATTCGCAATTTTCTTCTCTAGTTTCCCAATACCTAAAATTGTAGTTGCATTACTTTACCATGTGTTCTTGGGGCCTCACAGTGTTCTTCCCAGTGTTTTCTTCACGCATTTCTTTTTAGGAGCACAAACAAGAAACTGTTTTGCAGCCTGTTGTCCATTTTGCTTAGAGACTGGAGACTGGAGTTGAGTTTTGATGATTTGCTGATTTGAGATCAGCAAATTTGATGATTTGAGATTTGATGATTTGCTCCTGTGCTTTCCACAGGTGCTGCTAGAAGAGTGTATGGTTCAGATAGGAGAACCCACCCAGAGCAGACAGCATCCATTCCCCCCTGCTTTCTGCATGATCAGTGCAGCAGCAGTGGTCATCAATCGGGCATTCAGTTTGCTCACACAGTTCCATGGACAGAACTCACCCTACTTTGTTGTAGTATTATTGATAACATCTCCCCCTCTGATAGGTAAGCTGGAAGAAGGGCTTATCTGTCTTGTTCATTGCTATTTCCTCAGTACCATTGTCCTTTATGAATAGTTTCTCCATACATTTTTGATGTTTGAAATAAGCATTGGGCTCTTAATTCTCTGCTAGCTGTGGTGGATGTACTTAGCTGCAGTGGGATCCTAGTTCCTTCTCCTAGAAGGATTTGGAGATCGTGCTGGGGACTGTTCATTGGTCACAATCTATCAATGTCTATCTGATCTTCCCTTTATGTCCCAGTAGAGGAACCGTCCCCACCTCACCACTACCCACAATCTCCTGCACCTATGAAACACCTTTTAAATTTCCCTGAGAACAGTGAGCTTGTTGGTGGTGCTGGGCCTTCCTCTGATGTTCTGGCTCTGTAGGTCCTGCCCACAACCAGAACACTCTAGGTAATCTGTCACTTCCAGGAGTGAATTTCAAGCTCTTGTGACCTTGTACCAGTCATTATTTCAGCTGTCACCTATGCTGCCATTGGCTTTGCAACTGACAAGCACACTGGAGAGCGCCTCTCCATCTTGGACCCACTTCACATATTGCATATTGGAGAAACTAAGGCCAGGAGAAGGAAAATGGAAACCATATATTTGCTGGAACTCTGTTACATGCCGAGTGATCTGCTAAGAATATTACATACTGATTTTTTTAAATCTAACTATACAGGGTGCCTGGGTGGCTCGGTTGGTTAAGCAGCTGCCTTTGGCTCAGGTCACGATCCCAGCATCTTGGGATCGAGTCCTATATCAATGAGCTCCCTGCTTAGCAGGGAGTCTGCTTCTCCCTCTGCCCCTCTCCACCCCCCTCACCCCACTTGTTCTGGAGTATGTACACTCTCTCTCTCATTCTTAAAAATAAATAAATAAAATCTTTAAAAAATTAAAAAATATATAACTTATGCAGGATAAAATCAAACTGAATTGGCAATAAAATAGCTCCACTTTACAGATTAAGAAACAAGTGTTCAGGAAAGTTAACTTTTCTTAAGGTCATATGGACAAAATTTAGACTCTGTTCCAGATCTTTCTTAGTCCATAGTATGTGCATGTCCCATAGGTACCACACCACCTGTGATAGGCCATTGTTGAGGACCTCCACACACAGAACCAGCTCAAACTCACCCAGCCGATTGGAACAAAGCTAAACCCAGAACTCATATCTTCTAATCCCCAGTCTCCTTTTATATTTGTTTTATTAATTTGAAATTTCTTATATCATATGTCCCTGTAAGTGAAAGTATCAGTAAAAAACAAGATATCGTAATTTCACAACGGAGGAAATGTGTGTATACATGAATGATGAAAGCAAAATATTTTATCTATGTCTGAAGAAGGAAGGATATTGCATTAACTTCTTTTGCAGTGAGGAGGAAGAAGTTTTCTGAGGGTTCTCTCATCGAGGGAAAGTATTATGAAGTTGACTCTAAGACAAACGTATAGATCGAGGGCCTAGCACATTCTCAGGGATGTACTTGATATCGACGGGTGGGATGTTAAAACAAAGTGAGTTATAGACTCTATGCCTGCAGAATGCTCACTGTCTACTTAGAGTTGAGGCTAACCACAGTGATGAGTAAAAGACAAATCATATTTATAATTGTATAGATTGTTAGTGCTGAGTCTATACTGGAGTATTTAGGGACAGCTTCAAGCTGAGTGTGGGTCCTGGGTCAGGTGTTTAGGGATCCTTTGGGTCTGCTCAGCTGACAGTACCCCACACAGGGGTGGGGGAAAGTTGTTTAGCAAGGATAGGAATGTATAAGGTGAAGAGTGTTGGAAGTAAAACCCGCATAACCCTCCAGGCTGCTAAGCTCAGTTGATGGCACCATGGCCCACAGACCCTCAAGTCAGAATCCCAAGAGTCATCTAAGACACTTGGAGAACCCTACCAACTGCTTCCTAGCTGCCTTCCCTGATCAGTCACCAAGTCCTGCACATTTTGCCTCCTAAAGATTTTTAAGATTTTATCTTCTACTCACTCACTGTCTTGTTTCAGTCTGTCATCATCTCCTATCTTAACTCCTCAGATACTTTCCTAACTGAACTTTCTGAATCTTTCAGTCTTGTCTTCTTCAAACACACCTTTAAAAACTGTATCTAGAATAATCTAAATTATACTTGGGTACTTTCAGCTTAAAATCCCTCAGTGGTTTGCTGTTGCCTTCCAGAGAATCAGGACCAAGCTTCTGAGCATAGCACACAGGGCCCTCAACCATCGGTGCTACCTTCTTCTCCAGCCTCAGCTCCAGAATGTCACCTGGTAGAGTCCTTCATGATCTCACTATTGGTACTCCTACATAGAATCATGCCGTTCCTTGTGTCCATGACTTGGCTTGAGCTCTTCACTCTGACTGGCCTGTGCTTTCATATTTTTCTCCTGACTAGCTCCAACTTGTTTACCAGGACCCTCCCAAGACATTTTCCAGAATCTTCTTATTGGTTTAATGTCCATCCTTTGCATTTTTCACCTCTATATTTGCACTTGCTCATGACATTGTTCTATTGTTTTGTTCTATGTTGTATCTTCCACTATGTTCGAAGCTCCTCAAAAAATAGAATCCATGTCATATTCATCTTGGGACCACCAGCATTGAGCTCTGACATTCAGAATACATTTGTTATACTGTAGAAGTAAGACTGGATACGTAACCGGCACTTGGACATAAGCAAAGAAATTCTGAGTTCAAAAGATAGGTATATATATGATATATATATATATATATATATCATATATATATATATATATAATATGTTTCAAATACTTGATATATGTATCTCATATATATGTACGAAAGAGGGGGAGAAAGAGAGTTAAAAATTAATCTATTGTGTAGTATGATTGTGAACTAGAAGAAGGAAGAAACATGGTGATCTGTAATGCAGTGACTTAGAGAAATCCTTTTTAATTCCATAATTCTTGGTTGGTGGTAGGAGCCACATCTTTCATGAACTCCAGTGCTGGGCAGGGGCTGGCTTGGGATAGCTGAGTTAAAATGAATTTCTTCCCTCATCACTACTTAGTATATATATGTAGTTAGCTAGCTAGCTAGAGTTCAGAAAGTTATATTCTTGCATTTGGAGAACTTAACTTTCTATTAGTTTAAAGGAGCCGTTTGTAAGATTTTAGGCACTTCCCACTATTTACTAGTCTCCAAATTATGGTGGATTTTGCATGTGGGCAAGTGGAATATTTTCCTCCAGGAGATGAAGGCTGCTAATGGGCACATAATTCCAGTAGGGCTAAAGGCCTTGATACATGATAGGCTATCCATAAGTAATTATTTATCCTCTGAGAATCCCTTAGAAAGCTACCCCCTGTGAGGCACCTCTCTAGCCCAGAAGCTCACAGGTCCTGGGTCCTCCTTCTACCAAATATCTTTTCAAGGAACCTAGAGAAGTCGGTCTGGGTCTTCTCGCCCATTAGGGCTGTTCACTACACCACTTCACCCTAACTTGCTCCGAGACCAGTACATCCTTTCTTGCTCCACTATACCTCTCTGATGGTTTTGAACACAAGGAAGCCGCCATATGCAATGTTTTGCATCCTTTTGGATATAGTATTCTAAAACAGGTAGTATCAGCTTTGCCTTCATGCATTCGAACCAGATGCCAATGTATACCAGTTTTAATCGTGCCATTTTAAAATCAATTATAGTTCGTAATTACATTTTGTTACGTAACCAATCTCTCATAAATAATATTGCTTGTATGACCATATGGTCAGGTTACAATATCGTTTTTGATAACACTCCTAGACTCCTTTTGGTCTCTTTTTTTCCTTCTGGCAGGTGGACCATCCCACGTGTATGTGTTTTCTTTACAGATCTGCCTTTACTATCCTCCCCTGCCTCTGCCCCATCTTTTTTCTTTACCTTCATCCTCATAAGGCAGAGATGCAGTGTGAGTTGTAATAAAGTGTCATCTCACATGGGCCACCTTAGTGTGGCCTCTTGGTTAAGCTTCTTTACCTGGTCCCTATTCACCCTCCTCTCCTTTCTTCATTATTTATCCTCTCCATAGCAAAACCTTCTCTTCAACTAACACTAGGGTTAGGAAATCCTTATTAAGAGTAAATGTCTCTTAAACCATAAGAGACTCTTAATCTCACAAAACAAACTGAGGGTTGCCAGGGGGAGGGGAGGTATGGAGAGGGTGGTTGGATTATGGACATTGGGGAGGGTATGTGCTATGGTGAGTGCTGTGTAAGCCTGATGATTCACAGACCTGTACCCCTGGAGCAAATAATACATTATATATATATGTTAATTTAAAAAAAATTAAAAAAGAAAAAAAGTAAATGTCTCTCAGTATGAAGTTTTCATCAACTACTCTCCTGTTTCTATTTCTCCTTGCTCAATCCAGAATGATGACTTAAACTTGACCAAAATAGGAAATTCAGGAAGTGGGTAGAAGGGATATGGCTTCTCTGTCCAGGCCACCCCCACCCCCCAAAACCTTAGCCTTCAACCTACTTTAGAGTCTTTCTGTATAGGAAGAAAAGTAGCTAAATCAAATCCATTTTGACTACTAAAAACAGAATATTTGAAACTGATGTTGTTAGAATGATATACTTTTACATTTTTACTGTTTTAATTCATCAAATTGTTATTAGAAGTTAAGATTTTCTTGTTATTTTTATTTTTATTTTTAAATTTTAATTCTAGGGTAGTTAACATACAGTGTTACATTGGTTTCAGGAGTGCAATATAATGATTCAGCAATTCTGTGCCTTACTCCGTACTCATCTAGAAGCTAAGATTTAATCTCATTCCTGGAAAGTATACAAATGAAACAGCAAAATAAATGTACAAAGCAGGCTGAAATACCATCGATGAGAGAACTTGGGAATATTGAGAAATAGGACTCCCTGTTTTGACTTCATAATACATTCACTTTCATAGATCGATGGAGAAATTATAGTTTAAAAAGAAAACATGGAAGGGGCGCCTGTGTGGCTCAGTCAGTTAAGCATCTGCCTTTGGCTCAGGTCAGGTCAGGTCATGATCTGAGAGTCCTGGGATCCAGCCCAAGGTCATGCTCCCAGCTCAGCAGAGAGTCTGCTTCTCCCTCTTCCTCTGCCATTCCCCCCACTCCTGCCCTCTGTCTCTCCTCAAATACATAAATAAATAAAATCTTAAAAAAAAAAAAAAAAAAGAAAACATGTAATAAGGGAACATTTCTTTCTCAGCAACCATCTTTTTATATATGTCTCGTGTATTTTGTCAGATCTAAAGACTCCTAGCATTTGCCAAGTACTTTATACATGTTTCACTTGGTAATGAATCATCTATTAAAACTGAAGAGAAATAGTTTTCTTTTTAACATTAGGGGGATCTATGTAGATTTTAAATAAAATATCGTACCTTTTCTGTTTGTTTTCCAGGTACCTGAGTTCACTTAACAGAACAGTCTTAAAAGAAGGAAAAGAAAAAGGGGTCCAGTCTTTGGAATCGCTGACCCCTCACTCGCTGCTAAGTGCGTGGGATTCCCGTGCGACCCTATAGATCCAGGGAGGCCCGGCATGTTTCCCTGAGTGGTGTACTGCGCCTGCGCCCTGGGGGAAGAGTCTCTGGTCAGGGTTTTATGCTGCAGGAAGCACCATGGCGGCTTCTAGGACGGCCTCACGGTCTCCTCGGGACATTGCCAACGTGATGCAAAGACTGCAAGGTAAGGGGCAGAGCTGTCGAGACTGGTTTTGTATTTTTAAGTACACCTTAAAGTTCAAATACCAGCTTCACTCAGGGTCTTTTCAATTTGCTTGCACTTTATTTCCATTTTAGGAGACTGCAAGGAATCACAAGGTGATGTCTCTTTTCCTAGTGTTTTCAGACTAGTCCCTGCTCTTTTCAGGTGCTGTCTTTTTCATGTTGCAAAAAGACAAAAATCGAGCTCTCTGTTTAGCTTGGTGTCTGCATTAGTGTGACCTTGACGGTTAGTCAGTGCCCTGTTGGGAATTCAGTGATGGTCAAACTGCCCTTCAGTCACCAAGGACGATTCCACACTGTGACCATGCACAAGGTTATGATGATGGTGACAAAGATTGTACACTCTGGTCAAATAAGTCAACCAGTAGTTTACTTATCCCAGCTAGAAAGCCCTACGAGATCTAGAAAGTCTTTAAGGAAAATCAGGCAATGAGGCCCAAAGGGTTTATGACATGACAAGACTAACAGTGAGGGGCAGCGTGTGGATGGGAACCACATTCCCCACCACTGTTTTTTCTCTAACAGCAAATGATGTTCTAGAAGAGAATTAGCCCTGAAATGTTCTGGCAGCTTATGGATTAATTCTGTAATGAATAAATTATGCAATTAATAACATCATTATGAATTAAACACACATTTAAACATGTATATTCCTTAAACCATGGAAATAATCATCTGTCAGATTATGAAAATATCGCTTCCTTGTCACCACCCTAATGCTGTCTCTCCCCAGCTTCAGAAGTATATTTTTAGAGACAAAAATAGCCAGATTTAACAGAGTTCTTTTCTAGTCTTTGTTAAGAGAGCTTAAAAGTAATGCTACACTTGGCTTGTTGTTTTTCTAGTCTTTCCAGCAAGTGATCATTGTGGTTTGGCACCACAGCCATCATATTAATCTCTAACAGTCCCACTTTCTCGGCTTTACAATGTATTTGATGTGCATAGCGGTCATTTCCAGTGAAGAGCTCTTGACTTTCAAATACAGATGAGACTGTGGATAGTCACAGCTCAGGGCATGCTCTCAGCTATAGAAAGCCAGGGAGTTTCTTCATGATTGACCAGGGACCACTTATTTCACTGAAACTTCTGTAATCACAAGGATCCTGCTCATTTTGGTTGATTGTCTTGGGCTGATTTTTGATGCTTTAGTTCCAGTGGTGCTTGTTCCACATTTATTGTTGGAAGACCTCATTGTCATGCCAGAAAGAGCCTGGTGGTACGAAAGATCAGATCCTTGCTGAATATGTGGGCACAGACCTCCTCAGTAAGCTAAAAAAAAAAAAAAAAAAACCCTCTGATTGGGACTACACAATGCCAAGGGTCTCCACCTGAAGTTGTACATCTTTATTTGGGGAGATCGAGTGAATTCAGAACGTAGAGTTCCATTTTTCTGTCGGTGTCTGTCTTTGCTGCTTCCTGGGCACAAACTCCTGAACCATTTTGTGCCTCAGTGACCTCATTTATGAAATGATAAGAAGGAGCCTAGCAAGTCCCTTACAAAACTGTGGGGGAGATAATTAGGTAATAAAGCAGATTTTCCTTTGAGTCTATTAAATGTGAAAATTCTCTGGGTGACATATATATATAACACACACATACACACACAATTAAACAAAATTGTAGAGACTAAATTTGAAAAAAATTCAGAATCAGATTACGATTCTATGAATAGCTTACTCTTTATTCTTATTTTGATTTGAATGAAATTTTTTTTACTAAGGTAGTGGTTGGCATAAGAGGAGCGGGAAGAGGACTGATGCCTTAGTGTTTTATTATTTTCTGTAATGTATAGATAAGTGGTTTTTCTTGAAAGGTATGTGGAGTGGGGGAAAACACTGGAGCCCCACTCCCCTCCCAAATCTGGACTGTGACAGTGGATGTCCTATGTAACATCTGGGCATTTTGGGACCCCATTTTTAAAATGTGCTCTGTTCTCACTCTGGATTGTTTCAATATCAGTGAGATGATGATAAAAGGTCCTTTAAAAATCATAAATAGTGTCATCTGGTGAGGTGTTCAAATGGTCATGGAAGAAAAGCGGATTAGGAGGCATAAGCTTGATAATTTGTTGCAATTTTTTCTAGCCATGCAGACTTGAGAACAAATGTTAATGGTTTTATATATTACATTCCAACTAAAACTAGTAATTTTATTATATAATAAAGTGACTATACTCACTGTATTACTTTCCCCTTTCTAGTAAAAGAAAGAATTATAACATGTCAAAGGCTATCTGACTAACTAGAACAATAAACTTTAATCATTCAATAGAAGACAAAATTAATGAGCACTAGATATTTATCATTAGTTTTTAGCATCAGTTATTTTATATGTATACATATATGTTACATATATGTTTTATATATATATATATATATATATATAATTATTATTATTATTAATGGCAACAGAGTATAAGGTCTGCAGTGCCCTAAGATGCAATGGGTCTAGGCTACAGCGGTGGAAACACATCGTAGAAGTGAAAGAGATCTGGTGGCTCTATCTGTCGGCATATAGATCTGCTGGGTTGCTTGTGCTGATTCAACTGGCTAGGTCTGTGTCTCCCATGCATCTCACTCCTCATTGTGTATCCTACTGATGCTTGGGAGTCCAAACAAGAATCAACCTCCCTGGACAGAAGAGACCTGTTTTCTGTCGAAAGTATTTAGTGATTCTTCTTGCCTGCTAGAACCTCCAAACCAGTGACCGTGGTGCTAATAAATGGAGGGCTGGCATTATCGCCCAGATAATTGTGACAAATGAGGGAATATGTTTGAGGAAAAATCTGTTACCTTAAATAGAATCAGAGTTGCTGTTTGCAAAGTTCAAATCCATAAGAACATTCTTCTAGAATCCCCTTTTCTTTGCTTAGAGTGATAATCCAAGCAACTAATGTCCCCCCCTGCCTTGGGTTTTCTTGTCATATCAGATCTGTGTATAATTAATAAAAATCATGTAGCTTTGAATAGCGGCAACTTGGATTTGCTCTCTTGCTTATTTGGTTCACAACCATAATTGTTGACTGTTTTTCTGCTTTTAATTTTTATTTCTACTGCTAGGGAATTGAAGCACACACAGATTGCTCCGTGATTTAGCTGCTACTGTAGCAGTTCAATATTTCACCTTTGCCAATATTTGTGCTTGTTTGAGCATAATGTTTTAGGCTGGGATTCTGAATTATGGATGAGCAGGCCTACTGCAATGCAGAGTTTCATTTGCTAAGAATAATGAATGTTTCTGTAACTTTCATCAATTTAAATATAACCTTAAAAGCAAATACAAGGCAATAAAATAATAGAGGAGTATTACAATTTTAAATGCTCTTTAAAGGCTACGGGGACCCATTTCATGGTGGCTTATGGAGTGCCTTTAGTTTTTAGTCATATCAGAAAAAAAATGAATGTCTGAACTCCTAAAATTATAAATCTCTTTAGGATACTGACAATAACTTTGTAAATTTCATCATGTTGCTGCATAACATCTGCTTATAAAAGATTTGTTGAGTAGCTTTTGTCAAATAAATACATTTTCTTCATTTGAAGATAATCTGTCAAAGTTTAAGGATTTTTAAATTAACATATTTAAATGTTTATAAGATAGAGCAGTATCCATGCAGTCTTATAGAGTGAAAAGATTCAAAATGGGCATACAACTGTGTCATATAGAGATTACTTGGATAAAAAAGGAGGATTATTGACTATAAGTCGAGTTTTTATTTTTAAATCTGTGAATCAATTCAAAGAAAAAGAAATGAGAAAAGGGATGAATATGTACTATTGGAGATATATCCAAGAAGTTTGCTAACTGCTCAGTAAAAGATAATCATGGCCTCCCTCTAAAATTGCTTTTGTGACCAACTTTAAATTCTTTTGGTTAAATATAATATTTCCTATAAATCCATTATACTGTAAAAGAAAACCTCAGACTAACAGAAAGATTAACTGAAAAGTAGAATCAGTAATAATAAATAGTGATATTTTTTGGTATTTTAAATTTTTTAAATTTTAATTCAGTTTAGTTAACATATAGTGTAGTATTGGTTTTAGGAGTAGAATTTAATGACTCATCTAAAGCGCATCTCCCATTTAGTGTATCCCCCACCTGCCTCCCCTCTAGCAATCCTCAGTTTGTTCTTAATATTTAGGATCTTTTATGGTTTGCCTCCTTCTCTGTTTTTATCTGATTTTAATATTTTTCCTTCCCTTCCACTATGTTCCTCTGTTTTGTTTCTTAACTTCCACATATGAGTGAAATCATATGGTATTTGTCTTTCTCTGGCTGACTTAATTCACTTAGCATAATGCTCTCTGTTCCATCCAAATTGTCGCAAATGGAAAGATCTCATTCTTTTTTTGATGGCTGAGTAATATTCCACTATAGCTGTCTGTCTATCTGTCTATACTACATTTTCTTTACACATTCATCAGTCAATGGACATTTGATCTCTTTCCATAATTTGGCTGTGTTTGATAGTGCTGCTGTAAACACTGGGATGCATATGTCCCTTTGAATCAGCATTTTTGTATGCTTTGGGTAATTATCTAGTAATGAATTTGCTGGGTCATAGGGTAGTTCAATTTTTAACTTTTTGAGGAAACTGTATACTGTTTTCCAGAGTGGTTGCACCAGTTTATGTTCCCAACAACAGAGCGTGATGGTTTCCTTACCCCTGCATCCTTGCCAACATCTGTTGTTTCCTGAGTTGTTAATTTTTGCCATTTTGA